AGGGCCAATCAGACTAGACAGGACAAGCTACAAACGGTTGGCTAAGATCTTCGCCAAAATCTTTAAGTCAGTGTTTAACATCGTTAAAGGGCGAAAGTTCCTAACCCATCCCCACCGTCCTTGTCCTTACGCAGCAACTTGATGACACCCCTGGTGAAGCGTTGAGGTAAAGACCCTGCCTCATCCAGTGGTTGTACATCAGTTCCAGCAAAGGAACAAAAACGTGCGACAACCTCAAGTAAACTTCGTAGGGCAGACCATCTATTCCCGGAGACTTATCCAGGCCAACCTGCTTCAGCGCTTCCCAGATTTCCGACTCTGTTATGCGGCCCTCGCACCGAGCCACTTCAGCTGCCGAGAAGCAGGGAAAGTCAGCTAAATAGGCGTCGAACTGAGCAGAGCTCAGACCGGGCTCCCTGGTGAAAAGCTCCTGAAAGTAATCTCGAAAGACCTCACATATGCCCGCGTTTGTAGTCACAGTCCGCTTATCCGGTAATGTGACGCACGCTATATGTCGCCTGGCCGCTTTTCGATTTTCCTCTACACGCAGTTCAGCGGCCATATTCGTTGCCTCAGAAGACATTCTTTTTAACCTAGCCCTAACTACCAGAGATTGATCCTTCTTGATAAGCAAGGAGGCCAACTCTGCCTTAGCTAAGACTATGTCCCCACTAACACGGGATTTCACGGCCCGATCAACTTTTTTTTCTTCTAAAGCCGTTTGCGCCGCTAATTTATCTAAATTGAGCCGACGACTAAAGTCGGCAGCAAACGTACGAATCTTAGATTTTAAATTGCCCCACCAGGCATTTCCCACAACCGCTCCCGTCAATTCCCTCTGGATTGTTAGTAGCAGCTGGTCCCGGAAACCCTGATCACTGAAAAGCGAACAGTTCAATTTCCAGTAACCAGCCAACTTAACCTTTAGGTTTATCTAAGTTTACACGGACCCGGACAAGCCTATGGTCCGTATAAACTATATAATGGAAACTTGGACAGCCTAAGAGCCCTACATCGACTCTCCTAACTAAGACTCGGTCCAGATAGCTCGCAAGCGAGCCAGGAGCCGAGCTGCCACTAGTAGTCCAAGTCCATGCTACCTCCCGAGGGTGTTCATTCCGGAACTTATCGACGAGATCAAACCCATCGATAAAGTCCCGAAATGGTTTCACATCCGGGTTGTTAGTACCTTGTTTATGCCCTATACGATCTATATCGGGGTCAAGGACGGCATTCCAATCCCCGCTAAAACTACCCGACGAGACGTCGTCAAGAACGGCGCGATCTGCCGAAACAAAGCAGGCCGCTCGTAATGGGTATTGGGCGCATAAACCCCAATGAGACGAAGAACCTTATCCTTTATGGTAACATCCAGCACGCAAAGCCTGCCCGCCGGATCCGCGAAGACAAGGGTACATGCAGCCTTCAAAGACCTGCTAACTAGCCAAGAGACACCCCTCGAACGACCATCAAAACATGCTGAATAAAGGGCGAACCCCCTAGACAGTATATCCTCACGATCATGAGAAGAAAACCGGGTCTCTTGCAAACAACATATATTCACCCCGAGGCGCTGAAGGTCACGAGAAAATAAATAAAAATAAGAAAGCAGTCGTCCGTTTTGACAAAGTCTTACCGGACTAAAAAAAAAGGAAAAAATGTGAGCCGAAGCCCAAAAACAAATTAAAAAAAACAAACAAAAGAAATGGAAAAAGAAGAAAGAAAAAAGAAAAACTTAAATAAAAATTTAACAGAAAGACTTGGTGGGTCGAATAAAGTTCGTCAAGCACTTGCAGCAAATCCTCGTGGGTCAAAAACAAATTCGTCGCACTTCAAAATCAAAAAGACAAAATCACAAAAAAGAAACTCAAACCGACCGGTCAAAAAAGTCGGAAAAAAACGGAGCTTGTTATAACACTCTCTCGAGGGCTATGTCGCTTACTTAATATAGGCCTGGAAGAGTCTATTGTGTAGATAGTTTCCGGTCTCAAAATAGGTCTCTATTCATTATTCCTAAATAATGAAAAATGATATACGTTTAATGCTAAATTAAATGTTAATAATTTCCAGTAATCCAATGTGTATTGTGCTTTTCTGGTAATTCAAAATTCATAAGTGAGGTGTGGTTTTTCATACTCCTTCTTTTCCTTTTTCTGTAGACATCCTGTGACATGAAAGATGTTCAATATCTTTTTCTTTTCAGGTTAATTTCTAAAGGTTCCGTAAATTTCTTCTTTTTTTTTCTTTTGGGCCTTCTCAGCTCTGGCACTGGTTGCGGTATTGGAACCTCAAACGTGTCAAAGGCGACGTTCATAGTGTCATCTTCTATGGGATCACTGTCGACTATGCTTTCATAACGTTTTCTAATTTGATTTACATGACGTTGTGAATAAACTTCGTTCCCTGAAATCCTATTGTTTTCAGGAGTTTCTTTTTTTTTTCACTGTCAGTGTTGTCATTAACACTGGATACCCTTTTGTCGTAGAATTTGATTAGAATTCCTTTCTTCCCCACTCTTGTAGACACTGGCGAAAATTCTTTATCATATATTAAACAGTAAATACGACAGAAGAGTATTACACGAATATAGAGTGTGTTTATCAGATGACGCAGCGTTCAATCTATTCGACTGTTAATATTTAACAGTCTCCTCCCACGAGGGGAGTATGTGGCACAAGACCGATTTTACTGTGGGTTTTTTCGAACTCGTAGGCTCGGCCAAAAATATTCCATTAGAAACTGCATAAACAAGTTCAGGTCCTATCTATATCCCCGGACAAAACTTTGCCTTGCGGTAAAGCTTCGTCCGAGTTCCTCTCTGCCGAGACAGAGTGTTCGACAGAAATGAACAGTCTGGTCGACTGTTAATACTTAACAGCCCCACTCACGAGGGGTGTATGTGGTACAAGGCTGAGTTTACCGTGTGTATTCCTAGCCCGTAGGTTTGGCAAAAAATATTCCATTTGAATCCGCCGAAACGGGTTTCGTCCGGGTTCCTCTCCGACAAGGCAGAGAGTTCGGCAACAACGAACCGTCTGGTCCACCCTTTCCCCCACCCCCAAAAAAATCCCATAGCTAAGTAAAATTCTTAAAACCTTAGCCAAATCATTAATAGGAAAAACCCTTTTTGTAGTCGTCAAGAAACAAAAAAACAAATTGAAATTCAGTGCAATGCGATCTGTATATAAAACACCCACTTGAATAAACAAATAAATAAATAGAAAATCAGATGGACAATAATAAAAGACAATTCCCCAGACACATAACGATTGTAGGCGCGCCATAAAAATATCTCTCACTGGGAATCAACTAAAAGGTGACCGCAAACATTAGCCTTGAAATAGATACCCTACTCAACCTTAACAAAACCTCTTAGAAGATGATGAATCTATTGATAAGAATTAACTCTCTGACCACTTAACGAAGGAAAATAGTCTAGCCACTCCCACAATAACGAATTCTGTAACGGACCGTGCCTAAAAATACACGTAAACCGACAGATAGCTTATTCTTAAAATTTCGCTTGAAGATGAAACGGGACTAAACACCACAATTAAACTTAATTTTAATAATTATTTGGATGATTTCGGCTCTCGTTTTTGAAACATGAGAACTCTTATGTAGTGAAGGAATCATATTTTTAAACAAAAAATATTATTATAATATAAGCTCTGCTTCTGTATGGAGCACTGTCTTCTTAAAAATAAAAACAAAAATACTAAGGAACCCCAGATTATGCACCCAACGTGTTCTTTTCTTTTTTGCACACACACACACACACACACACACACACACACACACACACACACACACACACACACATATATATATATATATATATATATATATATATATATATATATATATAGCAAAAAGGACTAATTTGAATCGTTTGTCAGAAATGTGTACTCATATCTTACGGAGTTGTGACAACAGTGTGGAATTGCTATATATATATATATATATACTCCCATTTTCCCACACTGTTGTCAGTAACATGTAAGATATTTCTGACACAAGGAAAGTTTTTTTGTGCCATAGTTTCTGTCTAAACGAGAAATATACATTTACAGTATCATGCCAGTATCTTTTACCCTGGATAATTTCTCCTTTCATTGTGGGTGTTGAAGGTAAACTTATGCATTTCGGCATTACCTGTCTAATAATCAGGGATCCGCATCTTTGGGAAGAGGGCTTACCAATCAGCAGGGGTATCATTTCGGGTCTATTATTTTATAAATGGGTTCGGGGTCGTTCAGTATTCATCGTTGGGAAATCTCTATGGCATGATGAAGGGTGCAATTGGGGAGGGGTACAACGATTTGATTAAGTACAGGTTGTGGGTGTGACTGTTGGTGTGACTGTGGGTGTGACTGTGGGTGTGACTGTCTTACTACCTACTCGTCTACCGAACACAGATTTTCTAATGTGAACACAACTAAATTGAAGAAAAAATTCAAACAAATTCACAAAAACAAAATACACCTACACAAATCTCCTACACAAATGTCGGAAGTCTCACAGTTAGAACTCCATTTTCTCGAAACCAAACAAAACCACCTGCCTGAAACTGGTATCGCTACCTCTCTATCCCAGTGGAGAAATCGCAAACCTGGTCTACTCACCCGCTAAATAACAATCAAAATCGATACAGTCACGGACTCAACGCCGATATTAAGGACGGTTTTAACATTTTGCAGAAAACAACCATACAAGCACATGCCATATATGTGCTTCAGCGTGGCATTTGTCCACAACACCCCATTTTTCATTTTCAATCTGTATCGTCTTCAGAATGATGGAACTTAAATGTTCGATCGATTATCTTCGACAATAAATGAAATATGCCTAATTTAGCTTTCATATTTGTGGTGACTTCAATATTCACCACAAAATGTACTTAGTTCACTCAAATAGATTTGATGTTAATGGTGATTCATTTGTTGCTCTATAAACATCGGAAAGAATGACTTTTGATGCAGTAAAATGAGTGAGAATAA